AATAATTGTACACCATAATATGACACTCAATTAAAGAAGAGTAGTTGGGGGTTGAAGGCATGGCTCAAGTGGTAGAATAACTGTGTAAAAAGTGTGAAGCCCTGGGTTCAAACCCAGTACCACAAAGAAAAGAAAAGTGGTTGTTAACAGAAAGTGCTTGATAGGCCAACTTGTTGATCTTCCTTGCCTGCTGTTGTCTCAGTACAGACTGGAAAAGTGAAACCCAACAAAAGCACTTCCTTCTTTGCCCAAACACCACCACCTGGGGCTTCTATACTGATGCCAGCTTCTGCTTGAGGGACATGTAAAAAATGCTTTTGTCCTAAACAGTCTTTGCTCCATGATTCACTTGGAAGCTTAGGGAAACAAAAAGGAATTAAGTTAGCCAGTTGTGGTTGCACATACCAGAGGGCCAAGAGTGGGTAGGCTAAGGCCTTGAGTTCTAAGCCAGCCTGGGCTACAGAGTGAGACCCTGTCTCAAAAACAAACAGGGAAGAAATTAAGATAAGCATAGAGTTTATAGGGGCAAAAGCATCCTAGTGACAAAACAAAAGAAGAAACCTGTGACAAATACTAAGAAAGTTCTGAAAGTTTTCTTTTAAGAAGAGATTTCTGGGGTTGATGGAGTGGCTCAAGAGATAGAAAGCCTGCCTAGCAAGCTCAAGGCCCCAGATTCAAACTCCAGTCCTGCCAAGAAGAAAAGAGAGAGAGAGAAAGAGAAAGATCTCTGTTATTTAGGCCATATATTTGACGTAAGCCCATTGTATGTAAGGGGATTAGGGCTTGTGGGTAGAGAGAAAGGCTATATTTTAAGTTAAAACATAGGACACAGTACAAAGGAAAATAACTGGTCCTAGTAACAATTTTGAGGCCACACTACAAAATCAGAAATATGCCATTTCCATATATTTTAAAATTGTGTGTTCTAAATGAGGTTTGAAAAGTATGGGCTACATTTGATTTCTGGTACACTTGGGACAATAAGATAGGCCACATTTCTGCTTGTCGGGGGAGGCATCTAAGGTTTATCTCAATTGCACTGGTTTAAAATAGAAATGCAAGACAAGTCAATCAGGTCAGTGAGAAAAAAAAACAGTAAACCTTAATTAGTAGCAAAAGAAAGTCAACAAAATGGATGTGACTTATTTGACTATTGATAAAACTTTCTAGGCCATCAGTCATTTAATGCAGTTAAGGTGATTTCCATGTTAACTCCAGGGTCTCATGATTCAAGGGTGCAGGCACAACAAAAAGGAAATTGATTATTTTCAATTTATCGTGTGGGGATAGGCAAATTTTAACTTAGAATAGTAAATGAATAATAATCCCATGTGATTTTGTTTTCCTGTGTTCCTTAAAAGACATCCTTCAAGTTTGACCAAAAATGATGACTTTTTTCAGTTAAGTGAGTTTTCACCATGAGTAAAGGGCATGGGTTTGCACTAAGACAACTGGGTAGAGAACGCCGAGGCCCGCAGGGAAGAGGTACCGTCTATCACTACACGCTGCATACCGTCCACTTTTGCTTGTGCACTGCCATAGGTTGGTACAGGGAATGGTGTTACTTATTTTTAGACATTTAAATGTCATTAGAAAGGGAAATGGTTACCCTGGCCATGGCAAGGGTAGGTGACAAGTAGGAATGGCAAGTAGGTGACCTCCATGCTCCATGACAGCTGTGGGGAATCAGCCTCAAGTTCTTCCCCACTATGCCCTGCTCAGGAATCCTCTCTCCAACAAAGCTGTCCAGGAAACTGATCTAAATTGATGAGAGACCTGAGACTTGACACCTAACCCCACATTCTTATTCATGACCTTCTGTGAGTGAGTTTATTGAGTCTTTGAATCAGAGCAAATTTCGAGAGTGAGAAAGGAAAGAAAGTGTAAGGTTTCTGGGTTTGAGGGGAAGACTAAGATGTCACCACCAAGGGTGGTGTGTGCCTTTGCCTGTAACTTTACAGAGACAGACTAGCACAGGTAGAATATCTACCGCTCAGTGCCACATAGCATTATTAGCACCATGTGTTTGTTGTGCCATTCTTTCTTCACAGCAGCTTTGGGAGAGAAAATGGAGATGGGGCAGAGAGAAAGAGACAGATCTCTCGATTGTACAGCGTAGAAATGGAGCTTCCGTGACACTGAAATGATGTGTTGGCTGAAAGAGCTGGTTAGTGTAGTGCAAAGTTGTAACACACATCTCAAAGACCTGCTGTCCCGTATATCCTGCAGTTGTATCTGTTGTTGACAGAGGTGTACAGAATTAGATCAGGATGTGCACCATAGGACTCTTCTCAAGGTAGCCTATGTTTTCAGGTTGATGCTTCTTAGCTAGCAACAGGATTCAACATTAATTTGAATGGACTAAAAATGGAAACTTCTATTTGTTCAACCTTTGTTATTTCTACCTGATGATCAATAATGCAGTTCCTGAGAAATGATGTAAAAATCAAGATATTTTTTGCAGACTTGATCTTTTTTACTGATGTTTTCCTTGAGTTTTCTGCTCTGATATTTGCCTATTTCTGTTCATGACTAAATTTTCCAATTCATTGCAAATGTTTATCTGATAAAATTAAATAAAGTGGTCTGAGGGGAGATATTTCATAGTAAATACCTCATACAGGATAAAGACATCATAATTGAGATGGGTTAGTCAATGATTTTTTGCACGTATCAATTTTGAATCTTACTAGGCTTACACATACAATTTTAAAAACTATCAATTAGAGCATTAATGTCACCCAACTTTATATGTGTGTGTGTGTGTGTGTGTGTATGTATGTGTGTGTACAATAGACAAGAAACTGATTTTGTATTAGATTTATTTTAAATCAGAAATTGCAAATCTGTTTTTATAGTGATTCTTCTGTATATCTTGCTGTGGTTTAAGATAAGCCATAAGCATTTATTGAGCACTTACTATATGCCAACATCATACTGCAATACTAGTTAGAATGCTGAAAAGAATGGCCTCCATGTCCTCCAGCCTACCCTGCTATGCATGCCACAGTGTGCACTACAGCGTCTCTGTCATGATCTGTTGCAGCTCAAATGCATCCTCTCATGTAGTTCATAATAATAACTCTTGCCTTCTCTTATATGCAGTAGATCCAAATACAAACATAGGCATTATCATATATGTATGTGTATATATGTAATCACACACAAATACATCTATATGTACACATTATACAGAACATGTACCCAACAGTGAGACTGTTAGAAGAGACTAGGGTAGGAGAGAAAGAAGAAGAGAATGACAGTGAATAATATTGAAATACATTGCATCATTATAGGAACAAGGCACAAGGAAATGCACTGAAAGCTGTTGAATAATGGAGGGTGGGGGAAAGGGTAAGGAAGAGTAACAGAGAGAGTCAGAATGATTAAAACACAACATACTTACAGATGAAATACAAGGCAAAACCCTCTGAACATTGAACAGACACTAAAACAAGGAAGGGCAGGAACATAAAACAAGTCCTGTTAACGGGGTAAATGAAGAGGGTAAAGGAGGGTGAATATGGTTGATGTATTTTCTGTACACGTATGAGTGGAATATTGAAGCCTGTTGAAGTCACTGTAAGAAAGGGGAGGGGAAGAAGGAAAACAATGGAGGGATGAACATAACTGGGGGATGTTGTATGCATATATCAAAATGTCACAACAAACCCCAGTCCAATAATGTAAAAAAAAAACCCACTCTCTTATTAGATGCCACTCTCTTACTACCCAGCTCACAATAATTCATTTACCTCTCCTCAACCCTGGAAAATTCATACTCAGTTTTGCAGAACAGAAACGTGAGTCAAAGGTTAAGAAATGTGACCAAGAAAAAGTCTAAGTGACTGAGGTGAGCTTTGAACCTAGGTAGTTCTGCTCTGTATCAGACACTGAAGTGTCTGAGTAGACTACTTTGCAATCCAGGAGGGAGTACGTTAGTGGTGGAATAGAAGGATGCAGTATGAGTGGTAAGAAATGTGAGAATCTGATAAATCCTCCAAAGAACAAATAGAACTCGGTATTTAGATATGGACTCTGAGAAGAGGCAGAAGAACCCACAAAGGTCACTAGCATTAAAGACTGATAAATGATGGCATGCCCCTGGTGGTTGGAATATTTGAGACGGGGAAACAGCTGTAAGCCCAGCTTTGATCTATTTAACCTGAGGTGATGAGGTGAACTCCCCTTTGATTGTATGACACACCCAGATGTGCTGAAATGGCATGGCAGCAAGTTTAGGATGTGGCAGGAGGAGAGGCAAATTCAGGTGCTGGTGCCTGTGTTAGTACCCCCAGGACACCATGCAAGTTGCTTCACGTCTCTGAACCTCAGTTTTCTTACCTGCAGTTTGATTCCCATCATAATCACCATGAGAAAATATAGAAATAATGATATGCCAAAGATTAAGGGCTACTTAAAGACAGAATCCTGGTTATGTTCCTACACGACCCATCTTTTAGAATGTATTCATCTAATTAATGTTTATTTGAGGGAAAAGGAATTATTAATTATCACATTATTAAGTCAGAGCTGGGACAACCGCACCATATGCTTCAAGCCAGGACACTTCCGAGAAAGTGGATGCTCTTAGTAAATACATTGGACCAACAGGCATTGTGCTGTGGTTATGGGACTGTCACAGGAAAAGATATTGATGGTTATGTAACTTGCAGCCACCAGCAGAGGAACTTTTGGAATACTCCCTATAGAAACCACACCTAATGTTTCCCAGTTTGAAATGAAAATAATCCTGGGTGGAAGCAGATATATTTGTGATATTCTTTCCAGCTAGTATCCTTCCTTATGGCCTGTGTCCACCAGTCTTTTACCCTCCATCTTTCTCAGCAGCATTCCCTACCCTCTCTCTTGCCTACATGTGACTCAAGTCACTGTAACCACACAGTTGTTTAGAAGAAAAAGTAATGACTTCATCACATAATCCATCTGGTTCATCTTCGTTGTCTCATGTTTGCGCATTGCTGATTGCTGTCTTGTAGTTGCTCCGCTCTGCTGCTGATTGGTCTGCTGGTATAAAGTACCATGAAGAGTCCATCCACTCTGCTTACATCCATGTGATAGAGAACAGCAAGCACTACATCTATATTGAAGTAAGTCCTCATGGAAATTAGTGTGGAGACCTGCCTCGTCATAAATATCACACAGAGACTGCATGGTCAGTCCCCAGTTCAGGATTTTCATACGAATAAATGTGTGCTGAGGTATGAAGAGTGCTGGAGAAATGCTGATTCTTAGCACCTGAAGTTTGACCTCTGCAGTGTACCTGAAATTCACCCTGCATTGTCATTCACTCAAGACCCTAGTGGGAGTCTCCTCAATCGTTGCTGTTAAAATGCATCAACTTACTTTGATGTTATTTGCCAGAACATCCCAACATGGTTGGGCCTTGGTTGGAGGCTGTTAGCCTGGGGCACATATTAAAATAGAGACCATGGGAAGTGGAAGGAGGGAGAGTACAGGGAAGAACACAGAAGATGTGAGAATATTAAGGCAGGAACTACCTTTCTACAATCCTGTGTGAACTACCATTTATTATAAAGCTTTTCAGATTCCCACACTTTGTTCAGAGTACATGAGAAAATCTGAGAATATTGAATTTAGTTGGGGAATTTTAATTGCACTTCAAAATGGATGTAAAAATAATCCAGAGCACATGAAAAACCCTGAGAAAAAAAATGGATAATCATGATAATGGGAAAAATAAACCAGAACCCCTCTCTTTTTTTATTCTAGCCTTTTCTTTCCCATTGAATAAAAACAGTGTCTAGCTGGATTAGCTGGGGAAAAGTATTCTAGCCCTATTTTCCTTCCCTTGAGTCCCGACTCTGTCTCCATCCATGCAGTGACAATTGATTAAAGGCAAACAGCAAGAAATTGCAGCTTTATTTATTTCTCAGGCCTGGAGAAAGAAGGCTAATTACAAATCTTAGCAGGCTAGATGCAATGTGGTAAACTGGATTGGATTATGCAATAGATAAAAGGCATTAGTGGAAACATTAATGAACTTTGAATAAAGTCAGGAATTTAGTAACACTGTTAGTACTATTAACTTTGACAATTATACTTAGATGTGTAAGTTGTTAAGACTGGCTCATTCCTTACCCAAAATCATTTTGCTTCATCTCTGTTTATTGGCATTAGTAACAGCTTTTATTTTTCACACTAGCATAGCATTAAATGAGGTTGGTCATGCCATATAGCTACATATGGCCGTGGACATATTCCTGGGTGACACTCATCTAGCTATGGTAAGTAATCAGCAGTCACCCTACTCTTCCAAAAAGAGAAGAAAAGGACAGGATCGGACATATGGCCAGTGTGCATTGACAGCTGCTGGGGAGTGCTAAGCTGCTTTGCAATATGAATTCAGAAAAAACAAAGCATGGTTTGGTTGCCACTGAGATTTCAATTGTTTGATACCATAAGGGGAGCCACATTCTAGAATGAGCTTCTGCACCAGGTCTTCCTGGAAGTCTGTCTTCTGCGGGCGTATTGCAGATTTGTGAACTTAAGTATAAAAACACATGTGGTCATAAAAATGATATTGCTGCAAAAGAATGATAATTCTAATTTGAGTTACTGCTTATATGTCTTAGTATCTTGAGATGATTAGCTAACGACCTTTGAAATTATAGCTGTATTATAACAATCTCTAGTATTCATAATATTTATGTCTCATTTTTAACATTCTTTCATACAGAAACAAAATCTTGTACACCATATTACAATATAGCAGTTTTCTAGTAACAGTTTTAAAAATACATGAAAAGCAGAAAAGAAGAAATAAAAACATCTTCTCTTAGGTATATACAACATACTTACAAAAAAGATTCAATTGTACTTAAGCAGAAATTCCCAGATAATCAGAGACTGAAAGGAGACATGGTGAAAGCAGATTGTAGGAAATATTGGAAAAAGGCTGGAGAAAATTTCACCAGGCTTCTGCCACATTCCTGTCAAAGAGTACACTTAGCATGAGATATGATGTTTGCCAATATAGAATTTTTAATCATAAGCATTTACATAATATGTGGATCAGAAAACAGCTAATTTTGGAATGAACTTAGTGTTCTAAGAACATAATTTAGAAGTTTGAGTGGTGAGATAACAGTGTAGGCTTCCACATGTCCAGGCTGCTATGCGTGACAGCAATCTGGACATGCAGGGGACCTGGAGTCAGCTGAGCCTTTATTTTTTCTGTGTTGTTTACTTTCCTGTGGGATTTGGTAGTCAGATCATGTCTGCTGGGTGAAACATTTTTTGAAAATATCAGTGTACTTTTTGTTAGTTCCACATTTTCCTTATACAGCCTATACAGTACTGAGAAAAGAAAGCTTTACATGACTGTCCTGTTTTTTCTCGTAGAACCAATTTTTCATAAGCTGTGCTGATGACAAAGTCGTGTTCAACAAGGTGGGCGATGCCATTGCCCAGAGGATCCTGAAGGCTCACAGGTAATTTGCAGCTTGTGAGTAAGGTTCTGTGTGACATAGTCACTGCACTTATTCTTGTGTTTACTACTAAAATGACAATGGGAAGTCCACTTTTAAAGTACTGTCCTTTCCTAGCAGGCTTGAATGATGGCGCATCCAGTTTTAGGTTATGGAGTCCTTTAATCTAAGTCAATTGCTAAGAATTTTTCCAGTCCATTTTGGTGGGAATCTGAATTCTTTCCAGGACATAATCAGTTTTTTCTGGCCAGTCTCTTTCCCATGCATGAGGTTTGTGGTTTGATTTATTTAATGGCAGACAGTGAATTATGTTCATGTATAAACAAAGCAAAATAGACATAAAATTTTGCTCTGGTTATATTTAAATTCTTGCTTTTGTCTGTCATTTTTTCAGCTCCTGGGATGATTTTTTAAATAGCACTTTTTATTGAGATAGACTCCACATGTTATACAATCTACCCACTTAAACTTTATACTTCAATTATTTTTGATGAATTTACAGTCTTGTGCAACCACCACCTAACCCATTTTCATCACCCCAGAAAGAAACCCCAAACCCATTAGCAGTCATTACCCATCCGCTCCTTCCTGGAGCCCTCAGCAACCATTAATCTACTTTGTTTTTTCTATAGATTTTGGTCTGGACCTTTCATATGACTGACAACTTTCACTTAGCTCAGTATTTTCAAGGTTCATCGATGTTGTAGCATATGTCAGTATTTCATTTCTTTTATCTTGTCAGGTAATACTCCATTCTGTGGATACACCACATTTTATTTACCCATTTATCAGTTGTGGATATTTGGATTGTTCCCGCTTTTTTTGGCTATTATGAATGATGTTGCTATAAACATTCTATACTCAATTTTATTCAAACATGTTTTCATTTCTCTAGACGTAGAATTACTGGGCCACATGGTAAACTTTCTGTTTAACATTTTGAGGAACTGTCAGAATATCTTTCAAAGTAACTACACCATTTTACATTCCTACAGTGGGTGAGAGCTCCCATGTCTATTGTTGCCAATACTTTCATTGTAGTCACCCTGTTGGGTGCAAAATAGTATCATCTTGGGGTTTAATTGGAAGTTCCCTAGTGACCAGTGAGATTAAGTGTGTTTTTTGTGTGCTTATTGGCATTTACCTGTTACCTGTAGAGAAATATCTATTCAGATCTCTTGCCCATTTCCACATTGAATTATTTGACTTCGTATTGTTGGGTTGCAAGAGTTTCCTATATATTTTAGGTACTAGTTTCATATTGATATGTGATTTACGAATATTTTTTCCCATTCAGTGATTTACCTTTTTGGTGATGTCTTTTGAAACACAAACATTGTTGGTCTAATTTATCTTTTTTTCTTTTATTACTTGTGCATTCGGTGTCATATGTACCACTTGATCCACTATCATAAATGTTTTCCTGCACTGGTGGTATAGCTCAGTGGTAGAATGCTTGCTTAGCATACATGAGACCCTAGATTCACTTCCGAGCACCAAAAAAAAAAATAAATAAATCAATAAGCCTATTTTCTTCTTGGAATTTTACAGGTTTTGCTCTTACATTTGGATCTCTGATTCACTTTGAGGTTTTTTAAATTTTGTGTAAGATAGGAGTCCACCTTTATTCTTTTGCATGTGGATACAGATTTATTCCAGCACAATTTGTTAAAAAGATTATTCTGTCCTAGCAGAGTTGTTTTGGAACCTGGGACTGTTTCTTTTTATGGCTGATTGTAAAAGTAAGAAAATAAACAAAACCATTATCCCTCACTATTTTAAGTCATTTTGTACATATAGTAAAGAATGTTTACATATACAATCACTTGGGAATTAAAACTGTTGACTTGCAGTGTCTTGTGGTACTTTGATATCTTTCACATAATATGTGGAAATTTTTAGACTTAAAGACATCTTCAGTAGTAACTATCGACATTTTTATCTGATCCACAGTTTATATCTACATCATCTTAATGAATCTTTACAACTACTCATGAGAGTAGGTCCAATACCTGTAGTTGTTACTGTCCCAGTTTTCGGAATTAAGAAACTGAGATTCACAAAGTTATGTGGCTTGTCTAGGCTACTTTCAGCAATCAGCAAAAACAGCTCTGAGCCCCAGTCTCTGGACTTTGATCCAATGGGACCTTTTGACCAAATGGAGCCTAATGGACTTCTGACCTCAAACCCCACGGAAATCTGGCTCGTAGATGGTTAGAAGGAGGACCCATTTGGCACCTTTTTACATAAGTGTGATGAGAATGCACAGTTGCAAAGCCCAAAAATATTAAAACTACAGGAAAGATTTCAATTATAAATACTTTTAAAGTCATGTAGAAATCCCCACTGGAAATAAATGCATTAAATTAAACCTGATACAAATTAATTCATCTAGAATCCTGGAGAAAATTCACAATGTGAAGGAAATGTTATAAAAGTACTGCCTCTATCAATGCTGCATTCTCTGTTGTGATTTTTATTGTCATAGATTGTACAAAATAATGGGTTTCATTATCATATTTCCTTTGGGGGGTACTGGGGATTGAACCCAGGGACTCTACCACTTGAGTCATGTCCCTAGCCCTTTCGTTTTTTTATTTTGTTTTTGGGGTAAGGTCTCACTGACTTTGCTCAAGATAGCCTTGAATTCACTGTCCACATCCTAAGAAACTGGGATTATAGCTGTGTACCACCATGCCTGGCTGATCATAAAATTCCACACCTGCATATAATGTCTTTTGATCACATTCAATCCTGCATTTTTAAGGTGGGTTCTAGACTTGATTTCTACTCTCATAAACGTATTTTTAAGCAATGCATGTCAATATAATAGATACATTTTTTATTAAAAGCAGCTAATAATAATTTTCCATTTTGGAAAATAATAAAGACCCATTCAACATTCAGGGTTTCCTCCAAGTTGAGGCAAGTGTGTTGGACCTTTGTGGTTCACTCTCCACTTCGACCAATTATTGGGTGCATACTGATCCCCGGGAGTGGGAGAAGGAAGACCCTTTGGCCTGTGGAGGGAATATTTGTAGCAGGACTTCACTGTGACCTGGTAGTCAGCAGCCAACACTCTATCTTGACCCCATGCTAAGAGGTCTTGGCAGCATGGCACAGCATCCCGTCTGCACAGTGGGTCTCACACTTGACTTCACATCCTAATCCCTGTTGGACGTTTACAAAACTACAGAGAGCTTACTCAACTCTAGGCTTCTGGATCGTAATTCCCTAGAATGAGTCCCAGGCACTCACAACTCACATTTTATAACGGGTCTAAAGTGACTCTAGGGCACAGCTAAGTTTGCTTAATTCTCCTCTGGAGTAGCATGTAGGGCTATGAGAAGCAATGATGGTCTGTGCTTTTCTCTTCTCATGTACATTTTAAAGAAAGTCACCATTAGATCTGTTTCTGAAATCACTTAAAAATAGCCATGTTTACATTAAACATAGATGTGCACACAGGGATTTCTTGCATCCTTTCCAGCCTCCCACTAGTATGGGGTAGTTTATGTCTGAATTACAACATTACCTTATCTTTCTGCCAACTCTTGCATTTCATTGATGCAGGGCCTCTGCTTTATTTATGAAACACATTTGGCAAAATAGAAAAAAAAAAACCTTTTTTAATGAAATTAAGTAAGTCACAAAAATACATTAAGTTTGCAAATGAATTCCTTGGGCTGAGCAGTGAATTGTGAATTTTGGAACTGTGGTCAGCTAGTCAGTACAGTAGGGTGAACTTGAACTTCACTTATCTCCCTTATTAATTGCCATAGAGTATGGCTTAATATGTACCTGTGAGATTTGATTTTCAGTGTTTGAGAGCCTAAAAAATATTTTTATCCAACATTAATTTGTCTATAAAACTCTGGAGATCTTCTAAAAATCATAAAATAGTAGCATTTAAGAACAAAAAGGAGCTTTAAGATATTTTCTGATTAAACATTTCCCAGGGATCCTATGATCTGCTCCTGGAAGAAAAAGGATCCATGACAAAAGAGAATGGTAAGATAGCATCTGTCACAAGATTCAAAGACTGTATTTCATGCTTAGAGGTTCAGAGGGCACATTAAATACTCTGGCAATTTCAAGGTACTATGTAGAAAATAAGTGAGTCCACCGAATTTCAGATTAACTGTGTGCCATTGAGCTTCGGTCTCTCAATGTCTTGCTTTCTCTGACAGTCACATTCGTGATGGTTCATGTGCCAGGAATTCAGCGGACACATGGGCATCCTGAAACATATTTTAATGCTTTTCCCTTTCTCTGCACCCCACATCATCATTCCCCTCTTATGTTAATTGCAGCAGTAACATATTTTTTCACTTAATAACTTGAAATCTGTGAGCTTGTATTCTTAGGCAAGGTCAAGGCAAAATTAGAAAGCTCATCTTGCAAGCTGCCTGCAGTGAGGCGTCTCCTTTTCTCTAATTAGAGGCCATGACGTGTCACGCCCAAGCTTACTTCTCTTTTTCTTCATAGGCTTCTCTGTTCTCTACTCTCCCCAGACTCAGAATTTTTCTGCCAAAGTCACATTCTTAGCAACAAGTATAATTTAGCTGTTGGAAAAATAATAGAATGCACACAAAGCAGATGGAGGAAAATGACAGTCTGCAGTCAGCCAGGCCTGACCAGGGAACATGGGCCCTCGTCCAGGTCCCTCCCTCCCTGAAGGGATCTGAGTCTTTAAATTGCCAACTCCCCCAACTGGGCTAAGCCTTTATTTTTCTGCCAGCGCTGGAACTCAGCCTCACACCAGTTCTCCTAAGCAATTTCTCTGCCCCCCTCACTTCTTTCTGGTTTCTTCTCAACAGCCATAATTCTCTACAGAAACAGGTTTTTGCAAAGTCTCCATGTACTGATCCATGGCCCGGAGCCTCACTGCACATTGAACTGAGAGCAGCTGGGAGAGTCACTGTAGAAAATGTGTCTGCCTTAATAAGTAAAACTGACTCTGAGTTGAGATCAGCTCCCAACCCACTTGTGACATGCCTTTG